CCTCCCCTTTGTGGGATCGAGTTCTATTGAGTGTTGTGTTCGGAGAAGCACCCCTTCCCCTCCACCAGCATGGTCTCTGCGGGCCCTGCCCTGCACCCTCCCTACGCTACCACCCTGTAAATCCCACCCAGGAAGGTCGACACCAGCTACTGGGGTCTCTCTGGGCCCTTCCAGAGCCTTCCCTGGGCCTCTTTCTCAGCACAAGGAAAAGCCCGCAGGGCAGCTCATTTCATCTCCGGGCCCTCTGCCAGGTTGCAGGTGATCCAACCAGCAGCTCTGTTCCCGGAAGCACCCTGGGGGCTGCCCAGGAGTCACGGCTTCCAGTCTGACCCCACCCAGGTTGCATCATGGCCTTGCAGTCTGCAGGGCACCTGGTTCCTGCTTCTCTGCGGACCCCAGCCCTGCTCACCTCTGAGCATCCAAGGGAGGAAGCGAGAACAGACGCCCTTCCCAGGCTGCCTGATCGCCTCACCTGGTGCTGGGTGCGCCTCACACTCGGCCCCTCCAAGGTCACCTTTGGGGCTGCCCTCCCTGATAACGTGTCCCTTTGTAGCCTTTGCACTGTGTTAATTTCCTTCAGAACTGCCATCATCTGACCTGGCCTCATCAGGTGTGAGCGTCCTCCATCAGACAGGAACACCGGGGTGCCAGAGACCGGGTCCATCCTGTGTCCTGGGGCCTCCCACCACCAGTCGGTGCAGGTGTTTGGTGCTAAGGAATGACCTAGCAGAGAGGTATAAATCCACCTGTCTCCATTTTACCAAGGAAGATGTGAGGCTCAGAGAAGGCCAGCTACTTGCCTGAGGTCACACAGCAGACAAGTGGCAGAGTCTGGACTTGAACTTGGTTCTACTGATAAGACAGTGTGGAATGGGCCGGGAGAAGGCTATGGAGAAGGACAGCAAGAGAGCAAATAGAGAGGCGTGACATGAGTGGGTTACAGATACGGTTTATTACCTGTTGAGGATGGCGTGTACAGTATTCTCAACTGGACAGGTCTGAGAAGTATTTCAGGTTGGATAGAGTCTTTTTACAAGTAAAATGATAAATAGTGATTGACTGTTTAAAAAATAATTGGAGGGGAACCAGCAGTTAGTGTAATGGCTACGTCGCTGGACTCCCATGTAGTCAACCGTGATTCGCTTCCCGGACCCGGTGGCTTAAAACTCACGCCGGGCGCGTGTGCGTGCATGCCCAAGATCCCGAGAGGAGAATGGAGGAGAAGGGATTGCGGCGTGGTCATCCCCCCTGGGGGGTGATTTCTCGCTTTCTGTCTCTATGTCTCTCTCTGTCTGTCTGGCGAGCACATGCACCCTATAGCGAAAACCTCTTAAAAAAAATAAATAAATAAAAATAAATAAATAAATAAAAATAATTGGAATAATAATAATAGTAATCTGGAAAAAAATGAAAAGCTATTGGATGATGATGATGGGGATTTGAATGTCTCTGTATTGACGGATATGAATGGTATTCTTTCTGGAAAAAGCAATGTAATACACTGTAAAGTTGTATGTGATTCAATGTAATATAAATAAGATTATGATGATAATAAAAAATTTAAAAAAAAAAACCCTTGCTGGGGACCAGCAGTTAGCGTAATGGCTATGTCGGAGGAGAATGGATTGCTGTGTGGCCATTCCCCTGGAGGGGTGATTTCTCGCTTTCTGTCTCTCTGTGTCTCTCTGGCTGGCGAGCGCACGCGCCCTATAGCAAAAAAAAAAAAAAAAAAAAAAAAAACCCTTGTTTCTTTCCCATGGTTAAAGAAAGGAAAGGTGAAATTAGTCGGCAGGAAGCCTGGTGCTGGTTCCTGACACACCCCCAGGCCGATTCTTGAGGGATGTGTCTTTTTTTTTTTTTTTTTGGGAGATTTTCATTGTAGGGTCGGGG